CGTACAGGCTCCGGGATAAGATGAACCAAAGAGGCAGTTTTAACGTAAAGCAGTGAATGCAATGTTGCCATAGGAGGGCCGAGGGAAAGTTACAGAGCAGAGCACAGAAACCAACCCAATTTGCAGAGGTGGGGTGGTCAGAGTCCCTGGGAGAAGACGCACCTGAGTGGAGGTTTAAGGGGTGAGTGGCAGTTGGGCAAAGGGGATGGGAGTGACAGAGTTCTTGGCAGAAGAAACAGGATTTGCAAAGCACAGGTCGGGGCAACAGCAGGATATGGTGAATGCCAGGAACCACAAGCAGCGTGGTGGTGCAGACGTTTAAACAGGAGGGTGAGAAATGGGGCAAAATAGGCTTGAGTAATAGGATGGAAGCAGATAGCAAAGGAATTCCATAAAGAAGGCCTTGGACTTCACCCTCTGGGTGGTGGTGAACCCTGGCAGATGTGGAGCGTTGGAATGATACAACCAGAGTGTTTCCTTAGAAAGATTCCTCTAGAGACTGTGAGCAGGAGGAGCCTGTCAGGAGCCTGGAATCAGGGAGACCAGGAAGAGCATCTCTCAAGGTAAAGGTTGGCAAGGAAACTGAGTAGACCCAGGGACTGCCTGGGTGCAGGTGGCAAAAGGGAAAAGAGCTACGGATGGTGTAGCGGGTAGAAGAGAGAAAATCGGGCAGACGTCTTTTTTTTCTCCAGCAAAAGATGATGAATTTGATTTCTGACATGAGTTTGAGCTGTATATATGGGATACACAGGTTGAAATGTCAGTCTAAAATCTTGTAGGAGTAGTCTGGGTTCCAGGGCCAACAGCCATAAAGCTGTGCCAGCATGAAAAGTCCCAGGCAGACTGTGATGGAGATAAAAGAGGTGGGCAGAGGAAGGACCCCTGGAAAACACCAATATTTAAGAGGACGACAGAGGAAGAGGCTGTTACAAAGACAGAAGCAAAAGTCAAAGAGCTGGAGAAGCAGATGATGAAAAAGCCAAGGGAACAGAACTTCGAGAAGCTGTGAGTGAGTGACCATCACCATCACATGCAGTAGAGGAAGGTCCACAGAGTTGCGGGATGAAAAGCGTGCACCTCATTTAACAATTAGGAGGTCGTAAGTATGCATCCTGGTTAGACTTCGTGGTTGCAGACAACTGAATCCACTCAAGTTATTTTAAGCAGAAAGGTATTTATTAGAGGGGATCTGTATACACCGTCTCCAGGAGGCCACAGACACAGGTTTGGATGTCTTTCCACCGGAAACAGTCGCCAGGACAAACACCCATCCTCATCACAGGACCGTTATGGGGGAAACCCACTCTGCCACCGCTTCACTCAGTCCAGAGCCTGTGACCAGTTACTAGAACCTTCACCACAGATGAACCAGATGAAGAAATGCTTCAGCCACTGTGCCTACCAGAGCTGCTCTTCCCAAGGGCAGCTTCATCCTCGGACGAACTTCCTCCATGTCACCTAACGGAATGCTCACCTCCAGACTTCGGAGAGCTCACCATCCCACTACCTACGTCATCCACAAACGATACTTCTGCGCAATGTAAAATGAAGATGGAGTCCAAAAAAGCAAGAATAATCTTTATTCCTTGGAAACACATTTGTAAAAATGGATCACTAAGATTAAAAGATTCAGAACACATTTATTTGTATGCGGCACAAACACTGAGGATCAAAACATCTGCTACAACAGAATACACCTGTAAACAGATTATCTTAGGAAGAGTTTGTCGGTGAAGGACTCCGCCGTGCAAGGCCTGCAGCGGAGCCCCTCCTGCTGGACAGATTTTTGTGGTAACCAAAAATAGATCAGATGTTAGCAATAAAGTGTCTTAAGAGATGTCAACACATTTTTTTAAAAAAGGCTTACAGTGGGCCAAATTACAATTACATATACTTAAATGGCGTAAGAATCGTTTTTCACAAAAAGACTAATGAAAAATTATCTCAGGTTTACCAAGGAAAAAAAAAAGTTTGATTTGTGGCTTCAAAGGGGGGGATGGGGTGGGGAAATAAATATTTTGGTACAAGTTCTACCCTAAAAGACAGCCCATTGATAGCTGGTACTACAAAATGTACAACACCCATCCCATCCTATTCTACAGAATGCTTTGGCACAGCTTCATTAAAATCTTACACACTTTAATTTGAGCCATAAATGTTATCTTGGATTTCATGTTGCTTTTTAAAAGAGTTAAGTCCAGGGTAAAAACCAAGCCTCAAATTCTATAAATTCTGACAGTGTGTGTTCACAATTGTGTCTTCTGAAATCATGCAAGTTAGCAGCACCGATCAACAATTGAAAAAAAAATTATTCTTGTACTTGAGCAACAAATTCTATCAAAAAGGGATGCTATGCAATTTATGATTAGTAAAACTGCTAAGATTCAATGTGCCTGAACTGCTTTAAGATCAGAAATTCAAAGCCTCCCCGCATTTATGTAACAAGTTATATACGTTCTTGCGCTTCCGAAAGCGGTAGCCCTCTGTTAGAGAAGGGAAATTTGCAGTTTTCCTACGAGAAATTTAGTTTGAATGTTATATCCTCAGACTAAAAATATTAACTTTTAATACGATCACAGAATTTTAGAGCTGGAAGGAGCTTGGCAATCACTTAGTCCTACCCACTCTTTCCAGATGGGGGAAAAGGAGGCCAGCAAAGGAGAAAGGCTTGTCCACAATCTCACAACGGCCAGGACTGGGCCCCAGTGGTCTCAACCCCACCCCAGGGCTGTATGGTACTCTACAAAGAGCTCTCTTCCTAAGTTCTTCTGGTTTTATTTGGTCCCATTCATTAAATAACAGAGAAATACCAAATACACAGCAATATGATAAACATAGACTTTTACTCCAATTTTTAAATCAGAATATTAAAACGATTCCTGAGCCTTTCACTACCTTCATTTTATTGAGAACGCAGTCAACAGTAAATTGTGACTACTGATTGTGGAGATTTCCAAATATGTACACGGACTCCAGAAACACCTTTCAGAACTATTCCTTAAGGACACTTTTGCGGACGCGTCTGTGTGATGGCAAGACATGTTTCATGGAATGTAATGAAACCATGCTGGTGAACAGAGGTGAGATGTGTCAGTCTTTCAAAGTGCAGTCATGAGTTTGTCTCGGTACATCATACTTTGCACTCCTCCTAAGTTCTTCTGGTTCTGGTCGTGGACATAATCGAAACGGCCACCACTTCCACTGGCCGACGTTTCCCAGTGTGGCCTGTCATCCTGAAAGCATGGCCTGTTTTGTCGGCAGAGTGAATGGTTAGCGGGAGGGATGGAAGAAAATTCAGAAATGTGAGTGAAACAACACAAGCACGAGGCAAGCGGGCGGGAAAAACCATGAACCGTGTGAATGGGGATGGCTTCCAAGCTGAAATGAGTGGATTTGCTCAGGTGTGTTTAAAATTCGGATGCGGGTGATCTACCAACTTCCAAGTGGAGAAAAGCTCGGTCGCGGCCACACCACATTTCTCAAAGGGCACCTTGAGGATCCCTCAGTGTGGGGGAAGTCAGGTGAAAAAGGTTCCTTTCCCAGGCACTTCTCGGGGCTGTGACCATGCTACGGTGCCCTGTGAGTGCCTTAGGCAGCGTTTACCAGAGCCTAGGACCAATGAACTCTGTATCTCAGGCAGTGCTTCTCCAACTCTGGAGAGCCTGGTAAAACACGGACTGCGGGGCCCCACCCCCAGAGACCCTGACCCAGTAGGGCCCGGGTGGGGCAAAGAATGCATCAGCAAGCTCCCAGGTGAGGCGCACTGTTCCAGCCTTCCTCGGAATCCCCACTGCTAAGTGCTGGGCAAGGTCATGCCTCAGAAGGAAAACTAATGTGACAAAACAGGCCAAAAGAAGTGTAAAATTCTGTAAAAACAAGGTTAATAAAAATAGCACTTCTAGAAATCTCTTCTGTTTCTTATGTCTGGAAAATAAACTGCCTTCGCAATACACAGAAACATTTAGAATTATTACTCCACTAGGCTGACTAGCTTTAAAAAGCTACCCAAATATCAAGTGTTTACGATCAAACAGCACTGCTCTCCTCCAAGGTCCCCCCAACAAAAGTGGCAAGAATTCTCAAGAACTAATGGATTTATTTCCATCATTCCATTCTCCGTACTTTCTCAAGCAGCAAGGCTAGCAACCTTACCAAGAAATAACTTTATGCAAAGTGAATTCACCAACAGAAAGAGCTTCACACATAAACACCAATTAAGACTGATCTAAAATTCAAATCTTAAAAGGAACGTTTGCCTTTACAAAGCTAGCGTTAAAACACTCTCGAGCCTAACTAGAAACCCAGCAAGGCAGGTGCCAGTTTACTTGGAAGGACTGTGGTAGGGTTAGGGCAGAGGTGAGTAAAACAGAGCCCTCAGGCTAAATCCCACTCACCATCTGCTTTGGTAAATAAGTTTATTGGAATGCAGCCCTGCCCATTCACTTCTGTCTGAGGCTGCTTTGAAGCTACAAGAGCAGAGTTGAGTAGTTGTGACAGAGAGCACAAAGCTGAAAATATTGATTATGTGGCTCTTAACAGAGAAAGTTTACTGACCCCTAGGTTCAGAAAAAAGATCCACAATCTTTTTGAACCCCCACTCCATCCCTGAAAAAAGTCCTTTCAAAAAACCCACAACAAAAATCCCCAAGCTCAAAGCATATTTTTAGTAATCGAATTCTTGGGACAGGAAAATGTTACTTAGAAATTTTAAGCAACATTTCTAACACAAAACCAAACCAAAAATATCTAAGGTTAGAACGACTAAAAAAACAAGAAACAAAACCCAATTCATTTTCATTTCATAAAGCAGAACTTTGGTAAATCCGGACTCATCACTGGCTTCTTTTGCTCTGCAAATTATTCATCTCTGCCATGACACAGCAGCTCTTAACCGTTGTTTCCGATGCAGACTTTCGATTCACAACGAGGCAGAATTTGAGCCTTTCCGGAGAAAGGGAGAACTTTCAAGTAAGTACAGCTCCGTGAGCTCAAGCACTTACCTTACATTTGGAGAGTGAGGGTGCCACCGAGGCTGGCTGGGGTGGATATTGGGATGGTATTGAGGCTAGAAATGAAATACCAAACTTGATTATTCAATGACCTTTTGATTTCAATGGTCTTCATTTAGTTTCTCTTTTACTGGCATCCAGCTGAGGGGCCCAGGGCTGTGACTGGAAAGGCTATAACCAAACCCTGGATGGGCGGTGGCTTCCCAGGACGATCACGTTTCCCCTATGACAAAGGCAGGGGGGCTGGAAGGCTGCCCTCGGAAGAAAGGGGAAAGCATCTGTCTGGGAAGGGTCCCCCAGAGCGCCCAGGACAGGCAGTATTCATCTCTCCCAAGGAAACAGACGGAGGACACCCAAGATATGGGGTGAATGGTAGGCAATTTCTTTCTTCAGAAACAATTTTTGTCATTGCTGAAGAGGACGACAACCGTGTGTAACAGTGACATCTGCAAACACAAGACAACTGGACGGGGACATTAAGTCAGCAGGATTGTGGGCGAACACCTTCTCCCTTGTTTAAGCAATAGGAATAATTTTCTAAAATGTGATCCAAAACCTAGTACCAAACCTCGCCGCCCACCTGGCCGTCACCAAAAACAAACAAAACCCCAAACCATTCAGAGCACTGATTATTCTGATACAACAGAAGGAAAGAAGGAAGGAATTTGTCCATTCAAAAAAATGGATCCAGACTGATGACTCACAGAACGAGCAGGAGTGAAGACAAGGCAGGCCTGGCTGGGTGACGGGACTGTCTACCGCCTCTGGCCTGTAGAGGGTGGTGGCTCCAGGCAAGGCCAGAAGCCACGGGGCTTCTCAAGGCTAAACTTTCTGTGGAGCACATGAAACCCTCCTGACGTTTAAGTCACTACAGTCTTGCCACCATTATTCTTTTAATTATTTCTTCCCCTTCTGCTCCTTCCCCTGCTGTTTTGGTTAATAAGCAGAGGCCTGTTCTGTATTATGGAAAATTCTCAGTAATTCTGTTCATTCAGTTTTCAGGAAACTGAGATGCCCTCCCTGCCTATTCTGTATTCTAGTGAGCTCTCTCCTTCAGAGCTGCCTGTCAGCAAGCTAAGTGTGCAGCCCCCTGCACAGGCTACGGGGAAAGGGAATCTGGAGAAAAGATCTCAGGAGCAGACGCTGAAAGCTGACCTCTCTTAGGGAGACAAACACCTAGAGTTTAGAAGATGTGCCCATAGCTGAAATGCTTCCAGTGTTTTGGTCACACAGCCAGGCCCCAAATGAGGCTCCACTGGCTGCATCTTCAACAAAAGGGAACAATGTAGAATAGAAATGGACCTTCTGTTCCACTCCCTGTCTTCAAACACAAGCAAATCAGATTCATTAGGGAGAGGTGGGTACCTCATCCATAAAGACCTGGAAGGATATTCCCAAACCTTCCTTGATCTCCTTCGGTAATTTATTCACACTCTAAAGCTGTCAAGCAGCATTTTTAAATGTTAACCCACTTGGTCATTGGGGCAGTTTTTTCCCCCGGGGATAATTGGAAATATATATGGGCATTTTTGCTTGCCACAATGACTGCAAAATTACCTTTTAACTACTGGGCAGAGAAGAGGAAAGCTAAGCATCTGTAACTCTTGGGACAGTCCCAACAATGAAGAACTGTCCCTCCCCAAACGCCAAGAGATGTCCTTATCAAAACCACAGAAATCTATCCTTTGCAGTTGGCTAGTCTCACTGAGCTCACAATAAGACAGATGTTCCATACTCCCATTCTCCCGAAAACCCTTCTCAGCACTCAAGCCTTTATCAATCAGGCCACTTCTCAGGACGTTCTCTTCCCGCTCAATTCATTCCCAAACCTTGACAGAGCAACACGTAACCTCCAAGATGGCTAAGGTGGGGGGGACCAGTGATTGCCAAAGATGTTGCAAGAACAGTTTTCGTGCATGTGAGTTCCGTGAACAACTTCCTCCGTATTCACTCTGAGCAGGGAATAATGGGCTTTGTTTTCATTTTTTTTCTTGCCTTCAAGCAGGGACCGCCTGTCCACAACTCTTCCCTTCCCCCACAGCTAGCCAGTCACACCCGAAAATCTCTCCAAACCAAAAAGCTGATCTGTGACTGAGAAGATTCAAGAACCTAAAAAAGACAAGATCGGGAAACCTAGCTTTTCCCCTACCAGGTTCAAAGCACTTTTTACATGTTATTCCCCCCAAACTCAGAAGTCGTGTCCAGATTCTGCACATTGGGAATATGATTTCATGTATGGAAGATGATATGGCAAAATTCTTCTGAAACATAATTTGGAGACCTCGTAAAAGTCACGTACATTAGGATCCCACCCCCATCAAAAAATTAATATCTACGGTAACAAAAGATCAGGAAAGACACTAAACCAGAACAAAGGCTCCCAGGTGACCTCATGGAGTAGCTTCTTGTGACATCCGAAACCAGACTGTGATGGAGGAAACCTGAGCGTAATGTCCTTGGACAGAACCCGCCCAGGAAAAGAGAAATGGCCCCAAGTGAGGAGGCCATCAGACACGACTGCTGCCTCTAGGCACAAACCTACTAAGTGAGGGACACGCTGTCAGCACAGCTCATCAGAACCCCCTTAGCAGCTCTGAAGCTCTCTGATGCCCAGAACTATCTATCCCTAGAGCATCTGATTGTTCAGCCCAGGGTGAGGCCCAAGCACCGGCCATGTTTTTAAAGCCTGCCAGATGGTTTTAACATGCAGTGGGGTTGAAGACCACTGGTGTTGGTGATTTCCAGTTATGAGGATCAGAGAAGGCTCTGTGGAGGAGGTGGCTTCTGAGGGGACTCTGGAGGGGATTTTAATGCACAGACAAGTGAAGGGATTTCAGGCAGACAAGCATGGAAACAGGAACAGTGGGAAGAAATTCTGGGGGCACCGATTATGTGATTCTTTGAGAGTTGAACATATGATGTGTGATAAGGAGCAGAGAGGAGGAAGGCAATAAATGTAGAAAAGCAAGTTGGAGCCAGGTTGTAGAAGGCTGTGAATGGCCAGCAAGAGCCACCCCCAGGTAACTGTGAGTGGGTAGGCGGGCAGGCGGTGAGGGCCCTGGTTGGCCACCCTGTAAAAGAGCATATCACGAGCCACAGAAACCTATCTGTGCTCCTTCTGCAGGAAACAGGCCTGGCACAATGCTTTACAAAGTAGGTTCTGGAAACCAATGCTCCACTGATAACAGATACACTATCAAAAACAGGTGGGTAGATGAGAAGCTAGCTTTTTTTGATTGGGGGAGGGGGTGTTGAATATCAAATGATTTGGGGATACAATGGATTAAAAAAAATAAAACGTTATCTTTTTTGCAGGATTTCTCAGTACTTTTGAAACCCCAGCGGAGACTGTAAGATCCAAGAAGGGGAATGAAGGACACATCTCCCAAACGTGTGACTGAGACGTCCTTTCCTGGAGGCACATCTCAAGGGACTCATGTTCCCTAGGCCTAGAACATGCTGACAAAACACGGCCTCACTTGAGCGCTCCTAAGAGGTTGTGTGTGACCACCCAGAAACTTAAACATATGTCTCTGTGGTTTGCCAGTTGATAAGGTTAAGAAAAAAATAGGCAGCTGAAATGACCAAGAGGGGCCAGGAGTCACAGAGGAAGGTTCTCCTCTCACCGTTTTCTCAAAAAAAAAAAAAAAAAAACCAAGCCCCCCCACCCCACAACCAACAAAAAGCATGTTATTATTTCTTCAAAATCTGACTATAAGCATAATAACTACTTGATGTAGAAAATTTTGAAATTTTAAGAAGTATTCAAGAAAATCTTTAAAAGCAGTATCTCACCTGGTAATTATGGACTTCAGGATTTGTTTTAGAGCTATAGAAAAGAAGGGAAAAATTGTAATGTAACAGGTTGTAAAGCGGCACTGTTAGTGATTTTTTAACGATCATAAATCTTAAACACCACCTACACTGTCAGGAACTTTCACGAACACCGCTTCTTTTTGGTTATTAGCTGTTTACATGAACATATAACCAAGGAAACCAAACACCAACTTCCACTCGTCACTTTCGAGCTCACAAACTGAAACACAAAGGTAATATTCCAGAATCCTGCTTGCCACGCTTTGGTGACAAAAAGGAGGTCCCTTCAGTTGGGACACACCAAGTACTTTTAGCTCCCATTCCAGGTCTGCGCTGGCACTGCTGGGTGGCACCAGACGGCTCCAGTGACGCCCAGAGCTTTTTCCAACTGAAGGGAGAGCTGAACATCTACCGGCCGTTTCTGAACATCTACCGCTATGGGTCCCACTGCTACGAACAAGGCCACGAACCGGCCACCACCGTGGAACGCTCATTCCATATAAGGCTCTGTACTGGGAGCTCCACATCTGTTACTATTTAATCCGCACCACAAGGCTATGAGGTCAATAACTGGTACCACTTCATTTTACAGATAAAGGAAAGGTTGCCTAACAGAGAAGTTGGGAAACCTGCTCAGGGTCAGTCAGCTACGCAGTCAGTGGCAGAGCTGGGACTGGAGTGGGTATCTGCTCCATCTCAGAGCCCACCTTCTTTCCACAGAGTCCAGCTGGCTCCCTGACGGTCCGAGCAAAGGTACCACGCTCCTCATGCACGATCCTATTTTGGTGGACTCACAAGTAAAACTACTCTGGTTAAAAAACTATACGTACTCACATATATGGGCAGAGAATCCCAGGCTGGCTTTGCACTTAAAACACATGTGTTTCCTACGTAAGGCTGGCATCCGCCAGGAAAAACACAAACAAACACGGCACCATCGTTGGGCTACGTGGCTAGGGTGGTGTGCTCGAAATCAAGGTTTATTGCTTCAACAATGAGAGAAACATTTTACTGTCACGAGTCTTGCTTGGGGTCTAAATGGCTCTGTCTTCCAGAAAGGCCAGTGCACCGAGCCAGGCTCTGGGCCAGATTCACCTCCAGCTGGATTTTATCTGGAAGGTTAAGTGTTCTGCAAGGTGCAATTTTTCTGGTATCACCTCTGCAGCCCAGAGCGCAATTTCATCCCTGGCTCCCACAGCAATCCTACTCACCCCGGGATCCCACAGGCTGCGAAGAGCAATTGAACAGCTGCGAACAGTGGTTATTAGCTCATTTGTTCCTAAAGGGTATATTTACTGGTTTTTTTTGTTCCTGGTGGACACTTTTTTTAAGTTTGTTTTGGTTCCCAATATATATAATAATCTCCACTAGATGCTCAATATATATATAATCTCCACTAGATGCTAAAGGGAAAATATAATTTTATTAGGGAAAAACAAACAAAACAATCGCTTCCTTAGCAAAGGAAAGAAATGTTGTAACTCACAGGCCCCTGAGAATTAAAAGCAAGATACACTGACAGGTGGAGAAAGGTGCAAATGCTTTTAGCATACTACCCGCAGTGGGGATCCTAGAGAAGGGCGAGCCCACAGGCCTACAATGAACCCATGTGGGAGCCCCTCCCTCGGGAGGCCAGGGTATGCTCCATGGCAGTTCAACAGGACTCTGCAGCCCTTCTTCAGGTGCTGAGAACTGAACCCAGACACAAGAGTCAGCCGCCTGCCTCCTCACAGAATGGCACTGCAGGCAGAGCCTGGAACCAGAGACACAGGGCTGAGCTCCAGCTGTGTGATACAAGGGGCTGGTTATGTTCCCTAGCGTGCTTCGGGGCCCTTGCAGGTGTCTTGCGGCTGCCTGGGGGACAGGGGTCAGCTGTCAGAGGAACAGGCAGGCACCAGCCCTTTCCTCCCTGCCTGGCTCCACCCAGGGCAGCTCCACTTTTGTCTGTTCTCTATATTGGACTTCCAGGTCAGGTTTCTTCCGGGGGGCAAAAATCAGAGACTAAAAAAGTTTGGGCAAACACTGATCTAGCCCAAACTCCTTGTTTTCAGTGAGAAAAAGGAAGCCCAGCAGGAAGACCTAAGGCCCCAGCGCTGGGTTAGAGCAAGGCTGGGACCAGGCGGGAGGCCTTCTGGTCCCTTGGCCTGCACCCTCATCACCAACCAAGGCCTCCGGCTTATCCGCTCCTCCACATGCCGGGCTCTGCCCGAGTACAGGTGCAGGGCACATGGCACAGTCAACTTGTGTTCATCTCTAAGACCTCCCCAGCAGTCTGAGACCCGTGTGCCTGGGAAGACCAAGGGGCTGACTAAACTGGGCTGCCAGTGCCTGGAGCTTGGACACCAGGGCGGAAGGAATGACAGCCTGTAATTCTCCAGCATGAGAGAGCAGCTGTCCACCTAGGGCAAAACTCACATAAGCAGTTGTTTCAGAGAGAGAAAAAGAGGCAAGTGCAAGATGGGATGGTGGTTCCCACACACTAGAATCACCTGGGACTTAAAAAAAAAAAAAAAAAAAAAAAGCAAAAAACCCTAGGTGCGTGAGTCCCCTGCCCAGAGACTGATTCAATGAGCCTGGAGTATGGCTGGGCTGAGGGGGACGTTTCAAGGCTCACCAGGAGATTCCATGTACAGGAAAGATCAAGAACACCTGTGCTGGGGGAGGGGCTGGCAAATCACACCCATGGGCCAAATGTAGCCCACCTGCATTTATGAGTAAAGTTTTACTGGAACGCAGCAGCCTTGTCCTTTCATTTACGGACTGTCTATGGCTGCTTTTGTGCGCCAACCACAGAGCTGAGCAGTCATGAAAGAGACAGCATCGCCTACAAAGTCCAAAGTATTTACTACCTGGCACTTCACAGGAAAAGTTTGTTCACATCTGTGCTGGAGTTTCAGTCTTGTGACATGTTCTTTTTTCTGCACGAAATTCAATAAACGTGTTTCGTAAAGGTTTTCTACACTGTATGACTGTAAAATCTGCACATCACTGAGCGAATCCAGCATTTGCTCTCACGGAGCTTTTGCTCAAGAGCATGGCCTTTCTTTCCCATCACTGCCTGCAATGCCATCAGCACAGTGCGCTGCACACATTCCTCTCACCTTCATCACCCACTGTTGTAATAAACAAAGCACAAAGCTACACAAACAGAGCAGCTGTGTTTTAAAAAAGAAAAAAAAAAAACAGTCTTGGAACATTCCATTGTGCACTTATTGAGAACCAGGAGGATGGTATAGTCAGGCAGCAGAAAAAGCAGGGGGAAATCATCAGGTGACTCACTCTGTGGTTTAATTGTATTAAAGAAAAAGTCAACATTGCAAATAAAGACGATAATTAGAAGAGCTGTACCCCAGAGTCTGGGGGCACTTACCAGAACTGAGCCGCTATCACTGGGTTGCTTGCTTTAAAGGAAAAACAGAAAGGTATGCCATCTTAGAGAGCTGTATCACTTTTTTTTAACCACGTGATGACAATGACTAGGGTGGAGATTTCTGTGGTTGCAGTGGGGTCCCAACCCCAGGAGGCAGAATTTCCACATTACCTCCTTCTTTCTGGAGGAAAAGTCTCTTTTCCACCGTGCCAAGCCCTCCAATTCACTCAGCGAATGCCGAGCATGTTCCCAGAGCCAGGTGCTCTCAGATACAGAAATGAGAGGCAATTCTGGCTCTCAAGGGGTTCACAGTCTTGACACAGAGACAAGAGAGGTGTGTGAAATCAAAGACCGCAGAAGGGGATGATAGAGGCTGAAATATAAGCCTGACAGTACTGGGAAGCTCAGGGCAGACTTTTGTAGCTGGGGCAGGATGTGAATCTGTGGAAGGGACCATGGACAGAGCTAAAGCTTGTTTATCTAGACTCCCATTTCATTTAGGTGGCTCAGTCGGTTGAGCATCTGACTTCCGCTCAGGTCATGATCTCGCGGTTCCTGGGTTTGAGCCCAGCGTTGGGCTCTGTGCTGACAGCTCAGAGCCTGCAGCCTGCTTCGGATTCTGTGTCTCCCTCTCTCTCTGCCCCTCCCTCCCTCACACGCTCTCTCTCTCTCTCTCAAAAATAAACATTTAAAAAAATTTAAAAAGATGTAGCACAGAAAATCATTAAAAGCTTCACAGAGATGCCAGAACTCTGGCTGGGAAAAAATGCCAGTAACACAAAAGAAAAAAAGAGGATGGAGACTGGGAAAGAAAGTAGAGGAGAATCAGGGAAGCTGTGGTCTAGAAGAGGTCCAAAGCCACCCATGGGTCAAGACATAGGACACACCCTCCCCTCTGCAGTGGCCACACCAAGGGGACTTTCCCTTTGTGCCTGCACAGGCCTCCAGGGACTGGGAGCCCAGTACAGTCTTGAGATGGCTCTATCTTTGAGAGCACTATTAGGAACTTCTTCCTTACTTGGAGTGTTTCTGGATAACACTGATCCCATGGACTGCAGACAGAAAGTAGAAGGCTTGACAGGGAAGCAAGGCCTTCCCTCTCTCCCCCACTGCATCACTTGTCGCTCCCAGTTCCTGCAGTCAATCACCTTCATCCACCATCACCCTTCTCTGGGCACACCCCCAATCCTCTCACCCTCTGGTCTTTCTTGAAGGTGAGGCCATATTTCCTGGGCACTGGCCATTTTTTTCTCCATTAAAGCAGCCAAGAATGACTTTAGAGAGCTTCTGGCTGCTGTGCTATTAAACCATTGGTTCAAAAACGGGGGTACCTGGGTGGCTCGGTTGGTTTAGTTTCCAACTTTGGCTCAAGTCATGATCTCACTGTTTGTATGTTCGAAACCTGATGTCAGGGTCTGTGCTGACAGCTCGGAGCCTGGATGGAGCCTGCTTCAGATTCTGTGTCTCCCTCTCTCTCTCTGCCCCTCCCCAGCTTGTGCTCTGTCTCTTTCTCTCGCTCTCTCAAAAATAAACAAACATTACAAGTTTGGTTTAGGGGGACGCCTGGGTGGCTCAGTTGGTTGAGCGTCCAACTTCAGCTCAGGTTATGATCTCTCAGTCTGAGAGTTCGAGCCCTGCATCGAGCTCTGTGCTGACAGCTCAGAGTCTGGAGCCTGCTTTGGATTCTGTGTCTCCCTCTCTTTCTGCCCCACCCCCCGCTTGTGCTCTTTCTCTGTCTCTCAAAAATAAACGTTAAAAAAAATTTTTTTTTAATTTGGTTTAGGGAATAGCTACTACACTCAAAAAAAGAAGAGTCAGGCACTTAACCAAATGAGCCACCCAGGTGCCCCACAAGGTTAAAGATTCTAGAAGGGAGTGAAGTATAGGTACAGTTCTGACAAAGGCCCACTAAGTCCTGAGTGATACAAGAAAAACCTATGAGTAAGTGATATGTAGGAGGGGGCCCCAGGGGTTGAGAGTTCAGAGGCCATGCCATGAAAAAGCCCACAATTCAGTGCTAAACTAGGTGTCCCGAAGGGAGAAGCAATCAAGTGTAGGCAGAGAAGAGCTAGGAGGTAGGATGTGGAGGCCAAGTTTAAACAAGCCCAGCTTGCTCATTTGCCAACTGGTCCTGTATTGGGTACCAGCCTTCAGAAAGGCATGAAGCCATAGTAGTAAATGACAGACTAAGGCTCAGGGAGTTCTGAAAAGCGGGGAGGGGAAGGCATCCTAAGTCCAGGCTAAATTCAAGGGCAGGACGTGCATGGACTGACTGCAGGTACGGAGTCCAGGACTTAAAATTTCTGGATCTGCTCTTAGTGGCCAGAATTCTGGTTAGCATGAGACTGGTGTCCCATTTGAAACTGTAAGATAGAGGAGAGAAGAAGTGTTTTTCCCTCTAAGACACAGCATCATTCATCTGGGCAAAAAAACATGGTAACCTATGATATTCCTGAGGTCCCAGGAACAACGGAAGTGAAGAGGCACAAGAAAAGAAGGATGAAAAAGAGGGAGAAGATGAACACGTCCAATGGTCAAAACTAAAGACAGCGGACGGCAAAGGTGGCCTGGTTCCCATTAAGAGAATCCCTCCCACTGGGGTTTTGTCAAAAGCTTCAGAATGACAAGAGTAGAAGAGTAGAATGTTCCTTTAAGAACTGCTTTAGCAAGCTAAGTTCCTTGGGGCTTAACCAACTACATCATAACATAAAATGCCAAGCAGAATGAAAAGCACACCACCTTTGAACGTCGAATGTCTCCGGGATGGATAGCGTTTACTAGGCTTCCGCTCAAAGGTGCTGGTTCTCCGTAACCTGGCCCCATGTGTGGCTTGATACTCTGTCCGCCCACTGGAAAGTAAATATTTTATTGCATGTTACCAGTGTCAGAATATCAGCACATTATACATATTTGGAAGCGCACTTCTGTTTTCAAAAGCTCCAATGTAAATTTCAACTTATCGTGAACTCGTTTGGTAAAGACACACACTAAATTTAGCCTTCCATTTAGCAATAAAATCACCTCTGCCAAATCCAAGCTGTATGACAGGGGCAGATATTTCCACCAAGAGACAAAGTCCGCAATTTAGGTACCAGTCACTTGGCTGCACAAACCAGGCAGGTCCAAGTACTTGCCACATCTGACTGAGAGCACAATGATTCACAAATCAAATAACCTTTCATAACACACATTACGTAGACATTTAAGTCTTTTAAAATGCTGTTATCGGTGACCACTTAACTAAACCCTGGCTTTCCTTGCTATGCCAGGGGAATCATTACTTCTTTCACCAAGGCTTTCTGGGTTTCAAGCAACGTAGCTTCCGGGAAGTATGCTGTTTTTATCTGATTGATCACTGCTTCATTCCGGCCCTACTCTCGGTTGATGATTTATCACAAGGAAGGGGACACTTGCCACCTGCTCTAAGTGCCTCCAAGGGGCAACCTTGTCTCCAAACTCCCCTTCCTTCTTCTGGAGGGTGCCTGGTCTGGACCAAATCCTGGGGGAGTTTCCTCCAAGGATGGAAAAGTCTGCCTTGGCAACCACCCCAACAGCCATTTCCTTGCACGGTAGATAAATCTGAAAAGAACACATCTTTTGGCATATGAAAGGGCATTCAAGGACATGCCATGTGTGGGCAGAGGTTATGAAACCATGTGAAATTTTAGAGCTTATAACAGTGATTCTCAGATCTGTAAACAGGCCTCAGAAATCAACCCTGGGAGGGCACTTAAAATGCACATTCCCAGGCCTTATTCATGAATGCACATGGGTGCACCCATTGATTCTGATTACAAGGGTCTCAGATGAGGTCATAAATCCCCGTTTTTAATAAAACCCCAAGGAGGTTTCACGTATCTTGAAAGACATGGCCTTACAATCGTTAAGTAAAAATATGTGAACAATTAAATTCTCCATGTTTTCAAGGTCTCTTCAGATTCCAATATCTACCGAGCCTATCCGGGATCCCCTGCACACACATGGGGGGACATCTGCTCTCATTCTTAATCATCGACACATTTCTTGATGCCGGCACACGAAAGGCAAGAGAGGAGGGGTTGGAACAGAAGCCCCAGACCGTCTGGGGTTGACTCGCAGCTCTGCCACTTACTGTGACGCTGGGCAGATTGTGTAACCCCTCAGCCCTGGCTTCCTCATCTGTACGGTGGAGATAGTCAGAGGACCTAGCTCATTAAGTCTGCAGGGAGGATTATACATGGGTTCATGAAAAGCTCTAGCACAGCTTGTGTTCTACGTCTGCCCCGCCCACTACGGCAGCCACCCACCTCACGTGCACTGAGCACTTGATGTGTGGTGAGTGAGACAGAGGAACCACATTTTAAAATTTACTTAATATTAATTAATCTCAATGGCCACATTATCTACTGTTTGAGATGGCACAGGTCCAGCTACATGTCAGCTATTAACAATTTTGTTATTAGCCCCATTTTATCAATGAGGGCACGGAGGCTAAAACAGCTCCGGGGACTCAACCAAAGGTCAGATCTTACAAAAGAAGCAAGAACAGGACACCCGACTCAAGCCTCCGGACACACAGATCCATTCACAAAAAGCATCACTGCTGCCCTCCTTCGAAACACGGCATCCACGTTGTAAAAACCAGTGCCCACCTGAATCTGAAGCGAGACCCCAGCCGGATGAAGTCTGATCTGTTCGATTTGCTATTTCCCGGCGTCCGCAGGCGGAAGAAGGCGTGATGCTCGACCGCACATTTCCAGAGGTGCTTACAGGTCCTGGCGCTGTCCAGCCGGAAGACAAACGTGTGCTCTTGCTCCCGTCCCTTTGAGGTGAAGCACAAGGTTCGCGTCTCAGTGGGGGCCAGGAACATCAGTGAAGGATTATTTGCAGCAAGGAGGACAGCCAGGAGCGAGGCTTACCTGATCATCATCCTCCACTACCACCAATGTCAATTTGCTCTTTTTAAAATCCATCTTGGTAATTTTTGGCCTGGTCAGAGAGAAAACATTTTAAAAGTACAATCCGCAGGAAAACTATCTACACAAACAGCAGTTTTCCTTTCTACTTTTTAAGCTTAGATTTGCTACAGAAATCATTCATTCATTCAAGCGTGATTATCCAGAAGTCAGTGCTACTGCCAAACACCCGCAAGTACGGGAGCATGGTGTGTTTTTAAAGCAAATCTCGGGGTTGCAAATATCCCTCAATAATCATCCATCACATAGAATTCCACCACAAAATAGGAAAAGACATTTTTAATATTAGACAAAACTAAATTACCAAAAGAATAAGCCTATTTTGTTAGCTCCTTCAAAGATTAATATGCCTGTCGGGGTCAGTCCAAGAGAATATTCACAGCCATCTCTTCCCTACAAATAAACGAAGTGACAATCGGTAGAGGGTTCTAACAGGTCGTCACAGAGCAGAATGCAAAACAGTTTCCTCACCACGTTACTTTGTTTGCACATAGTTTACGCATGGCTCAGTCACAGCGAAACCCAAGAAACCCCGTTACTTAAACGCACACGGTTCTTACCCTGACAACGTGCATGTCTACCCCATACATTTCCAGCCACTTCGCTTTATTCAGATAGGACAGTTCCGCCTGGGCAGGGCTCTTTCCCCTTAGAAAAACCAATGGAAATACATGTAAACTGCAGCTCGTACACCCACAGAATTCTGAAGGGCACAGCCACATTCAGGGATCCTCTGTAGCAATTAAAAGAATGAGGGACACCAATTTATGTGAACAGGAAAAGACCTCCATGGACAGACCGTTCATTGAATAGAAAGAGGACAGCAGTGCTTACAACGTGGACACTTACAGAAACCATTTTTGTGCATGGACGCGGGTATGTGCTGTATATGCAAAGCAGGAAAGCTGGAAAGACGCACCACTGACTGCCAACAACGATGGCCCGCAGCGAGGACAGTGGGTGTGTGTGCACAGGGTGTGGGCCCTGTGACTCTACACCCACATATTCCTCTACTGTTTGGATGTGGCACAAGACTGGGCTAACATCACTTTCCAGTTTCAAAAAAGTCATTATATCCCTCAGAAGGGCCAAGGGACAAGAGGAAACCACGCTAAGTTTCTGCGTCCAAGACGGACTTGGATCGGGCAGAGTTTGGGAAGGTGGGCTGGGAGGGAGGAAAGGCAGCACTGGTAATCGAGGCAGAAACCTGTCAGCCTAGGGTGACCCTGGGGAGGAGGAGGGAAGAGCCAGCATATAACGGACAAGGCTCGATTTAGCTCTGGTGACCACATGTCCGGGAACAGAACCTCTACAACACATGGCCTCAAATACGAGTGTCCCTGTAAGGGACAACAGGGCATATTTCCAAAGGGTCCACTCTAGAAGATTCAGGCACAGGGAATGTACCAAGGCGGAGCCTCCTCACTCTCTCCAGGAGGCCAGGAGAGCAGCGGTGTCCTTGACAGTAATGAGCAAATCAGGACCAGGCTCTGCCATTCAGAGGGAAACGGGACTAGGCTTTGGTCCTTACTGTACATCTTGGGAAAGACAGACGTCGTGTGGGCCTTTGGAAAACCAGGACTGAGGCACAGGCGAGAAGTGAAGAGTTGGAGCTACAGTTTTACGGTCTTCGACAGAGCGATTCTACTGGCACATCTGAGTCCGAGAGACGCTGACACATCACAAAATAAATATATCAGAACGCTAGACGGTAGCATCAAGGTACCTGCACTCTTTCCATCTCTGGAAGATATCAAATTCCATCGCTTCTGTCTGATTTGGAATGAACCGAAACTCAGACACAAGCTCTGGCGTGTGTTCTGGAAGCTCACACTCCCCCAGCTCCGCTGCGAGTTTCATAAAAGGGAGGAAAACAGGAGACATTGAATGCTTTCAGTTATTGCTGCAACCAGGTCCAAAGGCAGTTGGCACGATTACAGAGCACAGGTACCCCCACATGCAGAACTCCCTGCTTTCAGGAGGGCTCAACTCCCACCTGGTGCCCCCAAGTGTACGTTCAGAACCCCCAAGAATCACCCCAATGCCCTCCCTATCGGGCAAAACACCATTATCTCAGTTATTACCGTCTTTCTCTCCACTATTCCCCCATACCCAAGGAGGCCCAGATTATATTTCCCCCACGAAGTGGTCGAGCCCAGATCTGCAATAAAAGGCAATTGCAGGGAAGGAGGACCTGCCCAGAAACATCTAACAGGGCTCTCGCTACGTGGTGGGTCGGAGCAGCACTCCGAGTCTGCAGTGCTAGAGAGGACCAATCAAGAATTCAGTGCATGTAGAATCTAGGGGAAAATATGCCAGGAGGGAGAGGGAAGGAGGGGGGGGGGGGGGGACAAGGCTGCAGGAGCAGCTGCGGCAACTCAGCCAGAACAGGGAGGAAGACGAAGACGGCTGTGCAGAGAGGAGCAGCCACGTGAGCAGTCTCCGCAAAAAGGCCCCAAGTGTCCCACACGCTAGTTGCTCTCTGGCCGAGGACCCCACAGAATGAAGGGCCCAGGACAGAGGGGGCCCCGTGCCTCCAAGGCACAGATGAGAAAATCCACTCCCCCCACCCGGGACCCCCACCCCTGCAGCTCCAGGGAACAGACCCCAGAACAGAAAGGAACCCTCCAGAGGTTTCTCTAATACCCTGCCACACAAAGCCTGGTCCAGCATCAGCACCATCTGGGAGCCTGCTCGTAACGCAGACTTTGAGGCTCCACTGCAGACCTCCTGAAGCAAAACCTGCCTTCTCACCAGATGCCCAGCTGACTGGCACACAGGCTGCTTTGAAAAGCACGGATCTACAACACTGGTTTTCCAACTTATGTTGGAAATGTAAGGCTCGCTAAAACACACACTGTGGCACCCCACCCTCCAAGATTCTGATCCCACAGGTCTGGAATAAGGCCTGAGAATCTGCATTTCTAACAAGCTCCCAGATGCTGCTGCTATAGCTGACCCAGGAACACACTTTGAGAAACACTGCTTAACACAAGAAATCCTACAACTGATTGGCCAGCGTGTGTTGCTAATAGCAACTCACTAAGTACCCAGCAGTCTTTTCTAATCCCAGAGCCCAGCTTCCAGGAGGGACTCCAAGTAGCTTGCAGAAGCAGATGAAACTTTTCTGTCCATACAGACAAAGCAACTACCCAACTCAGCGGGGTGGTGGGAGGGCTGTAAGAGGCAATGCCTGACACAGGGTGGGGACCTGCTGAGTGCTTCCTCACCTGACCCAAGCCCTCCATTTGCAACTCTCAAGTGGACGGCCCCCCGAAGACCACCAGGGTGGCCTGGATCAGGGCGTGCAGCTACTTAGTACCTTGGGCAAAGTCACAGATGCTCTAGAAATATTCACCCAGAGAAGGTAAAAGGGCTAGGCTCCCAAGGCCGCCACTGACCAATAACCAAGAGCTCACTCTGAAACCAGAGACCTGGCGAGGCTAGAGGAGCAGTCTGGGGAGAGATCTCCTTCACATGAACCACCCTTCTGCTGCACCCGTGGGCCAAAGTGAGGCAACAAATCCCTGGGCTGAGCAGTGTGTCTGGCGAGACCACTAACATCATCAAGCACAGGAAGGAGAAGCCAGACAGTGATAAGGTTTCCCCGAGACCGGGAAAGGGGGCCAGTATCCTCCTCACTGTTCCTGGATTACAACAGGCCCAAGCGATGCCTGTACATAGATTCTGAGATAGCACGCCTGCCTTCCAAGAGGCAGAACGACACTTCTCTGCCTGAGTTCTGGCCGTGGAGGGTGCAGAGGGTGGCAGTCACAGCTCAGACACAGGAGGGCCGGAATCCGCACTCTGCTGTACACTGTCTGTGCTACCTGGGCAAGTCACTTAACCACTCTCCGTCTCTGATGCCCCATCGGTAAAATGAGAGCTGCTGCAAGGACGAAAGAAGATCGTGTCCCGTTCTCCTCACTCTCATTCTTTTTGCCTGGATTCACCTTCAAATCTATCATAAAACTAGTCCCCCAAAGGGCACCGCCTTCACTCGGGGCCGCAACTCTGGAGGGGCACCATTAATTTAAGGACGATCACAGCAAGAACATGTCTTCAAGGCTCAAGCAAGGGAGGAAACACACCCTCCATTTTACTGAAACCTGAGATGCTCCAGTGATCTCGATGTTCTGACGCAAGCTGGCTCCACTGTAATTCAACTAGAAAGTAGGCTGTGGCACTTTCCGATGGGATGTGGGGAGAAGGGGCCACGGAGGGACAATGTAACAAGAACTTCCCCACTTGTTCCCCACTTCAGACTTTTCATTTGTACTTGAGATAATGACTGCATCTTAAATTACATGATGTTGTAGTTCCAACTCAAAGGGGTAATTTCCCCAAGAAAGGCTCACAGATAGCTGATCTCATTCACATCTGCCTTGGCCCTGGAGCAAGGCAAATGGTTCTACCAGAGCTGGACTTTGTGAGTGTGGTGATGCCTTCATCACACGGCGGGAAGTGGGGCAGGGGATGGGAGTGGGGAAATATGGTGATATATGTGCCTTATGCTCTAGTCGTTCAGGACCAGTGATCGATGGCCCCAGGTCTGACAGGGATGTGACTTCATCCCATTTAACCACAACCTGATGTCTACTGCTGGGCCACCAAGCCAAAGGGTATAACCTCCTGGAGCCTCAGAAACTCTAGAGCGGATGCTGCTTGGCCAGCTGGTGAGATCTGTACCTGGCCAAAATGGAGAGCAGACTTCCATGTTCCCCAAGCCGTTACAGATCCCTATAGCACTTACCACAAGGACTGTTGAATCAGGAAAATGTAGATGTGAAGCACTTAGCATTGTATTTGGCACAGGTATTTAGAGATGACAAGACTGTCACCTCTACCACCTATGGTTTCAGACCTCATGGGCAGGCTCCCCCTTCAACCAAAGTCTTTGAAGGGCCTCTCCAACTCTAATGGATTCATTCTATACTTACTGAGCACCTACTATATGCAAGCCCCCATTAAAGAATAAGAATTAAAAAGTGACTAAGGAACAGAAGTGTCTTGCTGTCATTAAAAACCATCTTCTTTGGGGCGCCTGGGTGGCGCAGTCAGTTAAGCGTCCGACTTCAGCCAGGTCACGATCTCACGGTCCGTGAGTTCGAGCCCCATGTCGGGCTCTGGGCTGATGGCTCAGAGCCTGGAACCTGTTTCCGATTCTGTGTCTCCCTCTCTCTCTGCCCCTCCCCCGTTCATGCTCTGTCTCTCTCTGTCCCAAAAATAAATAAATGTTGAAAAAAAAAAAAGAAAAAAAAAAAACCATCTTCATGACAAAATACAAGAACTAAAAATACGAAGTAGAAAATCATATTAAAAATTGTACATGACTGATCAGAATTACATTTTAAAAACTGCATCCAACTCATAGAAACCCTGATTGCGGATGGCAGGATGATGGGTTCCTTCCTTCCTTCTACTTGTCTTGACTATTGTGCTGCTCTCCTGATACTCTATAATAAATGTGTGCTGATTTCAGAATTTGAAGACTTAGATCAACTTTTAAAAATTGGGAAATACAAAAGTTGGAAGCCAAATCTTATGGTGTTCAAAATTAATTAGTAATTATGAATGAATACATCATAATTCATTATCCCAGAGAAACTGATGAACACACTGGTAAAATGAATCCACAACATATGCCTATGTGATGTACTGATAACATTCCTTATGTGCAGCTACACGTTAGTGTCTTCTTAATTAATGCTGAAGACTTCAGCAAGTGTTTCTTGTGCATTTTAAACTCAAATCCACCAGTGCATAATATGGAACAGTCAACACTGACAATCATGTAGGCAAACCTCCTACCATCTAACTCCTACCTATAAGCAGATGACTCCTTGTCAATGCTCGTGGCCTGACCTCTCTGACGGAGCCAGATCTGCACGCTCAAGAAGCTACCAGAGGTCCCACTGGCACCTCTCAGCCAAGAGGTCCTACGTAGATGATCTCCTCCCTTGCAGCCAATTCTAACCATTTGTGGCTCCTGTCACTCACTCTTGGGAGCTATCTATGACTCTTGCCTGACTCCTCTCTCAACACCGATGTGTAATGACCAGGTCCTTCTCTTGTACCACTAATGTTGTTCTTTTGGGGTGTGTGTGTGTGTGTGTGTGTGTGTGTACCCCCTGCCCTAGAGAGTTTCCTTTTATTACTGCAACACCTTCTTACTGCACCCCCAGCCCCGGTCCTGGTCCAGTCCTACCTCCCCATCACACCCAGTGGGGCCTTTCTAAATACACACCTGACCAGGTCTGCCTCCCTCTTGAGAGCCTTCAAAGTCCTACTGCTGACAGCATGGTCATGCTCTTTAAATAGGGTTCAAGGTTGTCCACTTATCCAGGTTCTTGAACTTCTACCCTCCAACACCATTTGACTACCAGTACCCCTCTGCACTTCTCTACCTTTTGTCTTGATTCCTTCATTTGTTTTCATCCACTCCTCCCCCGAAGGGCCTTAGTCTTCCAAGCCTCCTGCAAGTCTTCCTGAGGGAACTGCACTGTACCCTGGATGTGGTTTTGCCACATCCTCATGGAACCAAAAGCCACTTGGAGACGGAGGCCATACTGTATTTATTTATACCCCCAAAGTAGGGTACTGTGCCTGGTACACAGGATAATCAATTGCTAAAACGAGAGCATAACATTAAAATGCTAATTACCACTAAAGAATAAGGTACCTTGTAGACAGAGAGCAGCTAATTCCACAGCCGTTTCATATGGGCATTTCAGTCTTGAAAAAAAGAGAGGAAATGAATTCCATATATGAACTTTTAATACTCATAAGCATACAAAATATCATTAGAGTCATTTTTCAAAAGGTAGTGCTATTTAGATAATGATTTTTCTCGGTGGTTTCTATTTCTGCTGTCCACATTAAAGAATGCAAACAAGCTGATTTCCACTCCCTATTTCCCAAAGTCAATTCTCACCATAGAGCAAAACGATACAATCTAAGTATAGTTTCTATCAACTCTGTGGGCAATTTTACTGAATTTGGCAAGAATGGGGAAGTTTGGGAAATAGAATGAAAAGCCTTCCCTCTGCCTTAGGATTTTGAAACTTACTTGATAGAGTACATGCGCCTTTTCAAGCTGTCTGAACTCTTTCTTGAAACCAGGTCATAATGTTAAAAATAAACAGACAGACACAATATCTAATACTGCCAGGACAGCTGGATACACTCAAGCGTTCTAAGAAGTATAACTGAGGCGTAGCCACAGAGGCATATTACCACGCCTCCAATCACTGATCTCATTCATACTTGATATTACAAATTCAGTTAGAAAAATAATAATGACATACATTAGTACAGCACTTCATAGTTTTTAAAGCCTTTTCAAATATACTATCAAATTTGGTCAATGCGTGGACTTTATGAACCGCTAAGGTAAGTGCTCCCCCATCCCCCATTTCAGAGACGAGGAACTCAGTGACCAAGTGTCTTGCTCAAGGTCACCCAGCTGGGAGCAGGCAGTGCTGGACCAGAAGGCCATTACACCTGGAAGTACCGTCAATCTGGCCGAAGTGCGCGTAAACTGCAAAGCACTGTATAAATGTAAGACGTCGCCATTAATATTTTTCCAAACTGAAGACAATTACGGGAATTAAGAGGCCTTTAGTACGAGGAGCACAGTATGCAGAGAGAAAGAGAGAAAGATAAAAATACACACACACTCATAATACACACTGAGATTTGTATTGCATGGCTGAATAAGGCAAATGTATACACTGTACAATCTACTTGTGCTGTCATATAGATTCCACTAAGGTTTTGAAAGCCTACGTGCGATTCAGAGTTTGCAAATTCGGAAATCACTTTTCAAATTTCTTTCAGGTTGTATTCAAAATCAAAATGTGTTCTCATCAACGTCAGGTATCGCTTTTTAGACTTGGCAGAGTCTTCATTTTTCACGTAATAGAAAATAGTCGATACGTATGCTGAGAAATGACACAACTGTGAAGGCTATGACCACTGAAATTTTGTTATCTTTAAAATAAATACTGCACGCGAGACCAACCATGTCAATGCCAATGCTTCTTGGGCTCAACAATCACTGTAGCCAGAGGTCTGGTATTGAAAAACCATTTTTAAGAAGGGGAAAAGGAAATGAGATGAGATGTCTAAACCTCCTATCAGAATCAAAACGTAACCTCTTTACGTTGCTTAAATGCAGATGGTGATGAATGAGACTTCTGACTCTCCAAATACTTGTAAGTGTATACATACTAATAACGTATCTTGCTTGCAAATACGACAAAAGCCATTATGAATGGGGCAGTGATGTGATCAGGGAGGAAAGTATTCCCAAATGCACATCACTTAAGATATTAAATGCTCTTGGAAATGCTTCAAGCCATATAGTAATCATTTAAAATAAGATGATGATGATGACAGCGATACAAGGATTAGACTCACTTTACAATGCCTGGTGTACTTTTTTTGAATTTTGAAAAGGGAACAAGGGTAAAAGAGTTAAAACAACAACAACAACAACAGTGATTTAGAAATACACTATGATCTATCCCGGGTTAAGAGTTAGAACAAAAACATACTTACTTTCCTGAAAGAATGTCATGCCTGAGTTGTAAAACAAACAGGTACCTGACAAACATACAGAAAAGTCAACAGAGGCATACTCTTTTCCAACCACTTCCAATCCCCAACTTCCCATCACAAATCCCGCCCCGCACACAGCCCAGAATTCTGCATTGTAACAAGGAGTCCGAATCAAATGAGGACGTTGGTGGAAGCATCTCCTCCTGAGTCTCCAGGAAGACATCCCAGAACCTAGCTAGGCAGGGGAGTGCATGTACAGGGTTCGCAAGATACTTGGGGGATGGAACGTGAAACACACTCTACAGTCCAATGATGGCCTCGGCAGCACCCTTGGAGCTTGAGAAGAGAGCTCAAACGCAGGCATGCAACGTGTCCAATCAGACAGACAGGGAGGAGCCACTGGACTTGGCCCTCAGCCAGTCCCACCAGCAGATTCCGGGAAGAGTGCAGCTGCTGGTATCAGAAAGTTTACAGCTGACCGTAGTTAGCAACTGCTTGAGGCTTTTTTCTGATGCAGGTTAACTGCAGACTCTGTCTTTTAAAAAAAAACAAGCATACATGCACTCATGCGTGCACACACACACGCATGCAAAACAAAAATCCTGGAACTGGGCTGCAGCGGGTTATGGGGTAATGAGAAATGGGGAGAGGAGGCAGCAAATAACACAAGTGGAGTTCACCTAAGTAAAAAAAAAAAAATTAAGTGTTTTTGCTTAACTGTTTTTTTTTTTTCTTTTTTACCAGGAGGACGTGGGCAACAGAGCCACTTATAGTGCTTTGTAAAAGCCAAAGCTACCCACGCTCTGCTCCATACCTATGGAATCAGTCTTACATGCAAGAGTGGTCCCCAGGAATGTGATTTGCTCAAAAGCTTCCTAGGTGTTTCTGATTCACACAACCCTGGTTAAGAATCAATAGCTTGGATGATGGCTAGAAGGAGCACGTTTCATAAAGGACTCTGAAGAGGAACTCTAGAATAATCTACTTGAACTTTGAAAACAATGCAGATAGTCACTCTCTGTTGGAATGGATACAGGAGAATGTGAGTGACCCAGAGATCAAAGGATCGGGGAGCTGAAGGTTCTAGTATATTCTAGACTGTTCCTGCTTCTGACAGCTGCTTAACCACCACTGAACTGAGTACTCGCATCAAGGAGAGAACACACGGTGCTGAATACCGTGCAGAATACAGCCAGAACTTGCAATTCCTATAGGAAAACCTAACCGTGGAAGCCCAGTAGGCCTGTCCAGGGCAGGGAATGGTGATAAGCAGTCTTTAAAGTGTTAGTCAGGTGGTCATCTCCAGGTGAGTGGCCACCACCAGGGGCTGACATGTCGTCACTACTGCCGGTCACACAAATGACAAGGGGGTTCTGGGGACATTCAAAGCAGCCGAAGGTTGGGTAGAGGATCTTGCTGACAGAGGAGTGGCTAGAGAGAAATGCCATACTTAAAATGTTTTTAAAGCCTCTTTTGCTTCAACACTGTTTCTGAAGTTGGAGGGGCAGACACTCGTGGGCACACCTTAAAAGAAAGTCAATGGGGCTGAAAGATGACATGAAGGGATTCCAACAACTTTGATATTGTAGCAATCAAGGGAACATTGCGCAGCCCCTTAAAAAAAATAAGATGGCGTTTTGGGACTGAGAAATGCTCTTCTAATACCTGCCTTCCCTTTTTGTACCTGAGACAAAAATAAAGTGCCTTGGAACGAGTAACCAGTTTATCCCACAGCCCCACAAAACAGAAATGTGATCGGAAAATAAATCTTTTAATTTTGATTCACTGGGAAAAAGGTCAAACTAAGCCAAGGGTAGATTTTCAACAGAATACAGGGATAAGCACAAGGGAAATACGAATAGCTCTTGCTCAGCATATAAAGTCAGCAGAGAGAAGAGCAGGCAGACCCCAAATTTAGAGGACCCATAAGTTATAAGGTAAGTACTACAGTGGAGAGGGGGTCATGTTCTGCATCTGGTCCTACCTTGTAAACTCTTCACGAAGGTTGTTCGGTTCCGAAGAATAATATTTAACTCGAAAGTGCAAAGCATAAGCAGGTCCAACTGAACATAGGGAGATGGAACATTGAAGATGTTTTTCCCCAGTTTTGAAGATCACAGAATGGACAAAAGGAAACACATGTTACATCTAGTAATACATTCACTGCTACCGGAAGGGCACAAAGGGACATACACAGCTAGAGAGTTCTTTTCAATCCTTTCATTTGGAAGACTAAAATGTACTTTTGCATTGACAAAGACGGCTTAGCTAGTAACTTATTCTGGAATAAAACCCTAACCATGTAGATGAATTACTAAGAGCTGACATTTTACTTTCACCCAATTGCCAAGATATTCCAAACAGATACTAACTTTTTACAAAATACTAAGTGGGCTAAAGGAAAGTGACATATAAACAGCAAGGGTTCCGTAATCCAAAAATACAGTAAGAACACTTTAAAGTATTACACTTTTTAAAAATTACCCATGCATAAATAACACTGAAGAAATGCGGTTACTGCACCCGTAAAACCAGAGAGCTGGACCAGACTGTCAAAAACTCCTGCTTTCCCATTCTCTGAGTCTACTTTTACAACTCATTAGAAAATGAATATAATAGGCGTAAAGTCATGCTTGTGAAGAGCATATTAATCAGTTCTCATTGGCAGGGGTGCCTGATTTCAAATGAGAGCATAGTCTGTTTTTTAATATCTACCGAAAACTCTTATCCAAATTTTAAACTCTAACATTTGGCCAGCCTTAAGAAATGAAAAATCATTCATTTAAAACTGAACCTATTTTAAAACGCTCCCAAGTTCTGATGAAAACATAATACCTCAAAACACTGGCAAAGGAGTTTTACTCTCTGATAAAAGAAATAAGTGAGTAGGCTAAGTTCTGCTTACTTACTTTTCATCTGCTTTTTTATGGGTTTGGAATGGTCCAGCCAGTGCTGAAAGAAAGAAAAAGTTTCTTTAGGAATAGTTCATCAGCAAGACCATATAGAGCCCACATTTACCCTCCTCTATAAACCTTAGTAATTCTCCCCATAAAACCAGGCAATGGACCAGATCAGGGTTCTGAGGTTGGGGATCTGCAAACTGCTTGGGATGGTATTTAAAAAAAAAAAATCTGTGCTTATGCACATTAAGTACATTTTTTTCTTGGGAAAGTTAGCTTTTCAAAGAGGTGTCTCTTTTTCAAAGAGCTGTAACTAACTGATCTTTGAAGGCTCTTCTAGTCTGAAGAGCTGAATTTCTCAAATCACGCTCAAACTTCGGCAACTATCCCAAGTCACCATCAGTATAGTAAAGACCACGAGCCACACTGCCAGGAATCTCTGATCACGCATGGGTCTTGTAGCTTTGTCGTTTTCAATGCTAAAATTGTAAAGCCAAAATTCACGACCCCCAAGGAAGATGGGAAGGCAGGCAGGGATTTGCCAGAGATAACTGTGCTCTGGTCAGTGAGGACATTCCAACTTCCTCTCATTTTCATCAGAAAAACACTTGGGTCCTATCTACCACCCCCAGGAAATCGCAAAACCATTTCTCTCATACGCAAGTTTCTCTATAATGTCTCTGTTGTTGATACTACAGTTCTGACGAGACTCAGCAGCTTGACTTCCATGGAAAACAGCATTTAGGACCATTATGCTTCTGGCCTCTGCCCTTGGAGGGCAGGGATGGTGCACTTCGATCACTTCCGTTTCCCATGCCAGGCTCCGAGCATGGAACCCAGCATTCCCATATTAGATTCTTAAGAAATAAATACATGCTTGATGTAACTTTTTTTAAGTACGTGCCACGCCTAGCTCAGAGCCCAACACAGGGCTTGAACTCATGTCCTGGAGATCAAGATTTGAGCTGAGAACAAGGGTCAGACTCGTAACCAACTAACTAACCAGGGGCCCCTCGGTATAATTTTTTTTAATTTTTTTAATGTTTTTTTAATTTTTGAGAGAGAGAGAGGAAGAGACAGAGAGAGAGAGAGAGAGAGAGAGAAAACGTGAGTGGGGGAGGGGCAGATAGGGAGACACAGAATCTGAAGCAGTCCCCAGGCTCTGAGCTGTCAGCACAGAACCCAACACGGGGCTTGAACCAACAAACTGTGAGATCATGACCTGAACCGAGGTCGATGCGTAACAGACTAAGCCACCTAGGCATCCCTAAGGTTTATTTATTTTTGAGGGTGGGGGGAGGGGCAAAGAGAGAGAGGAGCTCAGAGGATCCAAAGCAGGCTCTGTGCTGACAGCAGCGAGCCCAATGCGGGGCTTGAACCCATGAACTAGGAGATCATGACCTGGGCCGAAGTCGGATGCTTAACCGCCTGACCACCTAGGTGTTCCTCAACATAATTTTTTTAAAAGAAGGCAAAGAGGAATTTTTCCCACCACTTCACGTCAACCCAATACACACTGAAACCTCACCATTATGGTAACATTTGGAATGACACAGCCAGAGTGGGTTTCTCATTAGCTGCTCAGAATCAGGGGCCCTTCTGCTGACTGCCAATATACTTTCAGAAGCAACTTCAACTCTGCACATTCTAATAATGAGAAAGGGTGGGGCTAAATTAGTACAGTGCACTCTACCCCTCACCAAAGAGCCCATTATGACTGTGTAGGAGGAGGGGAATAAGGAAACACAAAAGCAAATAACAGGTAAATTATAACACAATAAGCTGTGAGCAGTGCAGTGGGAGAACATGGGCTTTTGTCATTTCCACCCTCCGGCTAAGCAACCACCTAAGAAAGGAAGATCAGCACAGCAGGATGCAGATCTCAAAGGCACTCGTACAAGGTGCTTTATCTCACTGTTTACAGCTTTGAATTGGAAATGACCTAAATGTCCATCAACAAAGAAGGATTAAAAAAATGGCTCATCCACATGATGAAATACTATTCAGCCTTTAAAACTGATGGAGGCCTATTTACTGATGTGGCAAGAGACCCACAGCTCAACATTTGAAGAAAAAGAAGCCAAACAAACCAGGATCCTGTTTATGTAAAATTATTATTTTCTATTATGGTATGTCCAGAAGGATTTATAGACATTATTTTTTTGGATGTGGGGCTGTAAATGCCGTTTACTTTTTTCACTTTTCTGCACAATTTTTTACTTTTAATGACAATATTATTTTCATGGGGGTGGGTCATGTGGTCACTTCCATTAATTAATTCATTGCTTGCCCATCAGGCAGTTTGGGATGATCGGTTTGCCCTAGAAGAATTCCATATCACTGCTGCCCTCAGTCAAGCAGAAAACCTCGGACCTCAGCCCCTGGGAGGATTACAGATACAGACGTGATAAAAGTATATTTACTTTCCTGCCAGTAAGTATCACACTAATGGCTATGACTAAACTCTTTCTTCCCCTCACTATTACCCTGCAAAGAAAGTTCTCTGCAACCAGCCTTCTAATCTCATTAGCCTCAGAGGCTCACAGCTTAAAGGGGCTTGTCCCACTTCTTTCCCTCATGCCCCCTTGTATCTGGAATAGAACATGTCAAGCCCACTGTTTCCCTCCCTCCGCTGTCAAACTATGATCTTGATCTGAGTCCGACTATGTTGTTTCCTTGGCGGTGGTTTTCAACCCTGGTTGCGCACTGCGGTCACGACGCAGGTCCCACCCAAGAGCCATTAAAGAGAATCTCAGAGCATTAGTGTTTGTTAAAGGCTCCCAGCATGCCCATGAAATATTCAGTGCCGAAGTTTTCCCCTTACCCAGCAATATGTCCCTGCTGATCTCGGGGATCGTGACACACCCATGACCCCTTCTGAAAATCACCGTCAGGGCTTTGTAAAATCTCAAGCAATTTACTGGCCAAGGTTTACTGGCCAGTGGTCTATGGTTGGTGTTCACCGACAGTTCATGGCTAGTGTTCCTGCTGGACAGCAGACTGCTTTTCCCTCTGGCCATGCTGCTGAAGGAGCTCCCTTATCCATGCAGGCTGGCCCCCGTCCTTCCTGCAGAGCCACGGGGCCCTGCCAGGATGGACGCTTGTGAAAAGTCTGGGGCTCACGCATCTGGGAAAGTAATCAGAAACAGTTTCCTTTTAAAAGCTCCTTGCCCTACAAGGTTCAGATCAGGTTGCTTGCCTGCATCGGAGGTGATAAGAAACCCAGCCAGAATCCTAAAACAAGACATGATAAAACCTATCTGGTATCCAGGCAGTTCAAAATGACCTTTCTTTCCTAGCTGCAGGAGGGGACCAGACTCTGATTACTCCTATTTTATCCCACAAGACTACCTCGTGATGAATACCCAGGCACTATGGCCCCAAATGGCATTTAGTAAACCATATCCTACACTTGGCTTGGAGGCCTAAATTCAACATCAGCGAGACCTGTCTTAGATGTTCACCTGCATCCTGACCAAATATAGCCACACCGCCTGTCGGCAAAGGCCAAGGCAAATGGCTCCAGACCTCTTAACATACCATTAAACCAGTCACTGGAGACAGGCAGGTGCATTTCTAAGTTCAGAGGGCATGATATTTAACTCAAACATTCTAACAGGTGTTAGAAAGGTGGTTTCTGATCTGAATTTCTCATCCAAGTCCATCTGGCAAAACCCTTTCCATAAATCAAGATGGGAGATGATTTGGCAAAGCCCATCTGTTCTGACAGTATATCAGTTCTGGAACTCTGACATGTAAAAGGCTGGTTGTAGCACTGAGTTGTCTACAATCTATACAGAAGCACTTGAACCACAATGGCCAAGAGAAGCTCAGAGGTTGAAAAGGGCCTAAAACCTGCCTCGATGACCCCTGAGCCCTCACCATTGAGTCTGAGTGGTCAGAACTCATAGCTGGCATCCTAGTACCTGTAGATTTCTCAGCTTACAAAGAGTGTCTAGTTTGCATTTAAATTAGAGCTGGAAGGAATTTGAAGAGATAATCATATCCAAAGGATGAGAAGAGAAAGAAGGGAAAGGACACTTTTGGAGCTTACTGTGTGTGCTATGATTTATAATAAGAAATATATATTTGGTCTTAGTTTCTGGCACAGAGCTCCTAAAACCCTTGGAATTTTCTAAGCCATAAGAGCAAGAAAGGTGTTCTGACATTCATAACAAACTCCTTCCTACCATACCAGAGTTTATGTCAATGAGGTGACTTATTTTTTAAATTTTTTAACATTATTTATTTTTGAGAGAGAGAGAGAGAGAGAGAGAGAGAGTGTGTACGTGGGGGAGAGGCAGAGCAAGAGGGAGACACAGAATCTAATGCAGGCTCCAGGCTCTGAGCTGTCAGCACAGAGCCCGACATGGGACTCGAACTCACAAACTCAGATCATGACCTGTGCAGAAGCCGGATGCTCAACCCACTGAGCCACCCAGGCACCCCAATGAAGTGACTTTTGAAGAGCACCTAAGGATGGGGGCTGGTTGTCAGGGGAACCACCCACATGATTGGAGGTTGAGACTTACAGTCTCACCGTGCTGACCTCTGGGGAGGGGGGAGGGGGCAGGGGCCTGGAGGTTGAATCAATCACCAATGGCCAATATTTAATCAATCGTGCCCTTGTAATAAAGCCTCCATGAAAACTCAACTTGGAGAGCTTCCAGGCTGGTACATACAGAGAGACCTGGAGAGGGACAGATGCCCAGGGAAGGCGCGGAAGCTTTGCACAGCCCTCCTCACCCTATACTTGCTCTATTCATCTCTTCTGTCTGGCTCTTCCTGAGTTACCTCTTTTATAACAGACTGGCGATCTAGTCAGTAAAATGCTTCTGAGTTCTGCCACCTGTCCTAGAAAATTAACTGAACCAAGAGGGGTCATGGGGACCTCCCATCGACACTGCAAAAGCACAGGTTACAATCTGGACATGTGATTGGCATCTGAATTATGGGGTGGGAAACAGTGTTGGAGGACTGAGCCCTCAGCCTGTGGGATCTGAGGCTATCTGCAGGTAGAGAGCGTCAGAATTAATTGCTCGGTGGTGTTGG